AGTGAATGTCACAGGAGGAAGGGTAGGACTCAGGTGCAGGGCACAGGGACCTCAAGAGGGGTCTCAAGAGCTAGGTAAAGAGGCCCCATCTAGGTATGAGGAGAGTGAGGAGTAGTCTGGGTCAGAGAGATGGAGGGGGGAAGGCAGTGAATGGAAGGCAGGGGACAGGGAGCAGAAGATAGAAGTATAGAGGTATAGAGGGCGGGCCAGAGGCAGAGGGATGGAGGGTGGAGGGCAGAGGGTTGGATGTAGAGCCGTGAAGTCATGCTAGGGTCCATGCAAAGGTCTGGGGGCAGGGCATATGTTTACAAAGAACCATACAGAGAATTTTCTGGATTTTGGACAGTCCTGAGGTTCTGAAAGGGAGAGACATTGTCAAGTCCTTAGGAGTGGCAAGTGACAGCCACAGCAGTGTCCTCAAGTCTGAGAACGAACAGCCCTCTGCTGGGGCTTTGCCCCTTGGCAGCTCGGGCTGTCCATCACTTTCTCCTCTCTCTGTTTTTTCCATCTTCCTTTGCTAAAGGTCCTACCCAGTTCCTCTCTTCTATCTTCATTTTTCTTTTTTCCTTCTCTGGACCTGCCCACCCTGTTTTCTGGCTGGGCCTCAGATCCTGAGGTACCAAAACTCCCACTGTGGGGCTGGGACTGAGGCCTTGCTTCTCCCGAGGGCCAGCATGGCATTGCCAGGGATCCAGGGTCCCAGGCTGCTTCCCTGACCCTGACTGGACCAATGGCCTTGGGTAGCGCCCAAGTGTCTAAGTCTGCCGCCCATCTGTTAGATGCCAACTTTAGAGAGAAGAGAAGGATCCGAAGGGCGTGGAGTCCAGCTGAGCCTTGAAGGGTGCCCTGGGGCCCCGGTTGCTGCCTGTTGGTGCACTGTTAGTGCAGCTGCCCTACTCTGCCTGCAGTTGATAAGGGCCTGGCCCCTGAGCCTGCAGTGTTCTGGGTTTGGAAGCACCCCAAACACCTGGAGGGCCAGCTGCCCATGGGCCAGATAAGGGGAGAGTGGAGACATCTGGAGCCCAGGAGGTAGACTCCACCAGCTGGGAAGGCAGGGAGGGGAGGGGGGACAGAGGACAGACAGCTCCCTGGTGGCACATTTTTTTGTCTCACAAGCAGTTGTGATGCACCATCTCTCCCAGTCCCCAGACCCCTCCCCTAAGCTGAAACCAGCAATGTCAGTGGCACCGTGTGACAGAGCCAAGGTTCAGGGGAGTGCGTCTACTTCAGTGGCATGGAATGTTGGTGTCAGAGGCAGGTCTGCAGCTCCAGGAACTTTTCTAACCACTGCACTGAGCTGCCTCCCAGAGAAGAAAATGACTCTTAGCTGATTTGGAGTTAGAAATTAAGACATGAATTGTGCAGTCAGACCGCCTGTGTTTGCTGTTTAATCCCAGCCCTCCCATCTATGAACTCTGTGGGCTCAGGAAGACAAGTGAGCCTCAGGTTTGTTTTGTTTTGTTTTTTCATCTGTAAAACAGAGCTGGTAAGAATGATTCCTCTGTGATAGGCCCTCTATGTAGACTGAGTCCGTTCAGAGAATGCATGGCCTGTGCCTGGCACACAGTCTGTCTTTGCCCCTGCCACTGCCATCCAGGTCAGGTTTGTGATCTTCACCCCTCCCTGATTGGCCTCCAGTTCCTATAGAATTGGCTCGAGCTAAGAGCCCATCAAGCCTCAGCGGAAACGGGCTTCTCCTTCCCACTTCAAATACTCTCTGGGCTGGGGACAGTACCAAGCCTCCAAGTAGACCCTAGAAGTGGGAATCAATGTTGGCTGATGTATGGTCTCCCAGGTAAGAGATAGGGTGGCCTGGGGATGCCTCACATTTGGAGAAAAGAAGGGCCTGAGAGGAATGAGGATTGAGTCCATGGGGCTCACGGAGCAGGTAGATAGACAGCAGGCAGGACCTACGGGGTGGGGGGGATGCCTCAGCTTTGCTCCCAACATGCACTCCAGCCACACATACCTCTCTGTATGGAATCTGTCTCTCCACCCTGCCACTGGCTCACTGAGGGGCTACATGCACATGGCCACATTACCATCCACCCACCTGCACCTCCAAGTCACCCGCCTGCACTTCTGGGTCAGGGGTCGTAACCTTTGAACACAGATTTAAGCTGGCCACACATGCACAAACCCTCAGAACAGATACCACATGACCCCCACCCAGCCACTCCCTGCCCTGCCCACCTGCTCAGGAGCCTTGGGGGTCCTTTGTGAAGTCCTGCCTCCGCCGCTGCTGGTGCCCTCTGCGACTGGCTGAGCTCCCAACTGCTCTAACAGCGCCAGCAGGTGCCCTGGGGGAGGCTCCCAAACCCCTGACTCATGCCCTTGCCTCCTAATCTGCCCGCCCCACAGCCGGGAGCCCCTTCCCACCCCACCTCCTTGCCCTGCTCCAACTGGGTGCCCCATAAACATAGTTATCTCTCACCCACATCTGGACAGCTGTGCATCAGGCCCACCCCACCCAGCCTGGCCAGCCCCTAAGGCCTTTGGGCCCTTCTGGCCCCTGGGAATTCCTCTGGACTGAGGCTTGAGAACTGAGCTCTCCAGACTTCCAGGTCTGGCCCCCGGGACATTTCTGCCTAGCCTATGTCCACTCTTCACTCTGGCCCCAAGTCTCAAGACATCTCTTTCCTACCCATGTCTTTCCTCAAGCCTGGCTTTTCCTTGGCAGCCTCCCAAGCCTAACGCTCATGGAACCCCATTGAGTCTCTCTTCTTCTTGCCCCTGACTACAGCACCTTAACTATGTTGTCCCCCAGACCCCACTGGCTCCTGAGAGCTGGCCTCTTGAGGCTACAACACTAACAGTCAACCTGAGACAATGTCCGGTCAGGAAAGCAACTGTCCCTACAGGAGCCCCAGCACACAAAGCTTCTATGTCTGGGCACACTGGCTCCTCTGTGGCAGCCCAGCCTAGGCCCCTGGGCAGAGTAACAGCATTCTTGGCCCCCGCATGCTCCTCTTGTCACACCTCCAACAGGACTATGTTCTCATCTTGGCAGGGGGGTGCCCTGGCCAGGGCACCTATCTCTGGCTGACAGATGGGTTCCACTGGGTGGGAATGAAGAGGTTTAGACCAGACCAAGTTGGGTACTGTGGACCTGGAGGGAAGAGAATGCTCTGCCTGGCTCCTTCACTGACTGACTGATGGTGAGAACCAGAGTAGCCTCCTGGTCTCTTAGAGCTTTGGTTTCCTCTTGTATCAAGAGACGTTCCCAGGGTCAGGGACAGAGCTCAGTTAGTAGAGGGTATGCATGAAACCCTGTTTTAGATCCCCAGCAACACATAAAACTGGGTGTGGTGGTGCTCACGCGTAACTCCAACACTCAGGAGATGTTATCCCAGAGCTCAAAAGGTGGAGGCAGGTGGATCAGAAGTTCAAGGTCATCCTCGGTTATATATATATTTGAGGAGTTCAAGGCCAGCCTGGGATACATGAGGAGAGAAAGAACCTGTGAGTCAGAACTCAAGACCGAGTTCAGGCTCCAACAATAGGAAAATTGAGAGCTGGCCAAATAGAGTGAATCAACCAGTCTCAGTCACTAACTTGTGCTGGCTGAGTCCCTGCAGAGCTAGAGGGACAGTGGTTCAGGGCAGAACCCTTTAGAGTAGGAAGCCTTTGTTGCAGAGGCTGTGCTGGGGTTCAGCTGGGGTCATGTTCAATATCCTCAAGTCCCCCATTGCAGAGGAAATACCTAAATTGACAGAGACGGGATGTCACTTCCTGTAAGCAAAATGACCAGAGGACAGTACTCCTCCATGCTGGACACTAAGTCTCTCTGAGTTCATGAAGCCCTTCGGGTGAACAGCACTGCCAGCTTTTATCCTCACCCCCTCTCCTTTCTCCTTTTTATTTTTAATTTTTTTTTTCTGGGTATGGTGGCATATGCCTTTAAACCCAGCACTTGAGAAGCAGAGGCAGATGGATTTCTGTAAGTTCAAGGCTGGCCTGATCTACATACTGAGTTTCAGAAGAGCCAGTGATTTGTAGAGAGACCCAGTCTGAAATTTGTTTGTTTGTTTTTTAAATATAGTAGTCAAGCTTGTCTTGAACTTGCTGTGAAGCCAAGGACAACCTTGAACTTCTGCGTCCCAGTTCTGAACTAACAGGGGTGCAATACCATGCCCACTTTACACAGTGCTGAGGATCAAACCCAGGGCTTTGCGAATGTCAGGCAAGCAAGCACTCTGCCTATTTCTCAGCCCACTGTCAGTCTCTCACAGGAAGCCTCCCAGCTCAGACCTCCCTGTCTGCTTGGCCAGACAGGGCAGGGGCTTCATGGTAGCTGGGTGACCTGTACCTTGCAGTGTGGAGTATTTGCATGGGGCTGTGACCACTGGGGATGGAGTCCATTACTGATCTCATGTCCCCTTTTCCATCCCAGCTGTCGAAAGCCCTCAGCCAAGCCTCCCTGCATAAGAAGGGCGACCTCAGCTGCTGCATGGAGATGGGATAAAGGGTGAAGGCCCACGTTTAGGGCAAAGAAGATCAGGGTTTGAAACGGCAGCCAAAGTAAGCAAGGGTCCCAGGAAAGCAGAGTATGATAGCTGAGCCATAGCTGTAGTGCAATAAGGGCAAGATGTGCCCAGGGTGGCCTGGGAGAGCCACTGACTTTCTCTGGAAGAAATTACTTCCCCCATAGACAAGGTACGCAGACTCCTATGATCTTTCACGCAAGGGAAGTCTCCCTCAGCCCAGCTTCTAGAAACTGCTGGGGCAAGAAGTTCTGCCACTTTGCTGTGTGACCACACCCTTTCTCTGGTCATCCCTTTCCTCTATGGACTGCTGGGACCAAATGGAGTGATGGATGGATGGGAGTTTGAAAGCACGGTCCCCTTTGGATGCGGGACGGGGCTGAGTTGAGGGCAAGGGTTTCTGAAGCTGGAAGGTCTCCTGGGTGGGTGGCTTGCTCGAGCTGGATCCTCAGAATATTCATCCTTAGCAACCCACAATAAACACAGAGCGTTATGGCAAGAGTGTGGTAGAGTGGAGAGTGGATAGACCTTGAACAGTGTGGTTGTTCTCCTGATTTGCACTAAGATGCTAGAGAAAATGCTCCCTGTGCTTCCTGCCTGGGGAGTACATGTATTAAAAAAAAAAGAGTGGGGGACCGACGGGACTGGACAGATGGCTCAGTAGTTAAGAGCATGACTTCTCTTCCAGAGGACTCTGGAAGCTCACGACTGTCTGTAATTCCAGTTCCAGGGGGGATGGGGGCAGACACCCATGACAAAACACCAAAGCACATAAAACAAAAATAAATTAAAAACCAAAGAGTGGCAACCGAGGAGACAGCACCTGGGAAGCATTACTTGTCCCCAGGAAGAAGATGAGCTGAGCCTTGAAGAAGTTCCTTAGGGAAGAGAGCTAGGGGTCAGTGTGGAGGTGAGGCAGAGAAGGGCAGTCACAGGGGAGGAGGCAGAATAGGATGGGGGATGCACACGCACTCCTGGGGGAGCATGGTGGAGAGTGGGAGGACTAGAAAGGCCATTCTTTCTAGTGCCCTCATCTGCCCTGCCAGCACCCTTAGCTGGGCCTTGGGACTGAGAGGAAATGGGAGATTCTCCTAGTTAGCAGGGCCAGGTCTGTGAGGAAAGCTGGCTCTAGGCCTCCTTTTAGAAAACACACAAGTGTGGCTGCTCTTCAGGGTCCAGAGAGGTGGGGGTGATGCTACTGCTCACCCAAGAGGACAGAGATGGCTTGGCTGGCTCAGGAAGGGGGTCTCCCAAAACACGAGGTCTATTTGAGGAGCCCCAGGTCCCTTTCTGGGCTCTTCATTGGATACATGCGCGTCTGAGAATATTCTTTGTTCTCTCGAGTCTGGGTTTTTCACATCGCTTTACTTGTCCTAACCCAAACCTACCGAACTGAAGCTGTGGCCTTCAAGAATGGACACTTGTGCTCCTGGCTCTGTCCTGAGACTGGGGGGGGGGGGGGGTAACGCCTCAAGCCAGAGGTGCCAGGTGCCCTCACACCGCTCTGTGCAGTGGCAGATCCTCCATGCCTGACCCCCCTCCACAGACCATGAGCCTCAAAACACAGGGGCCATTGCCTTCAGGCCCTTCACTCTGCCCTGGTTCGCTGGTATATTGCTTTTTGAGACGAGGTCTGACTCCATAGCTTCATGCTCTTGGTTCTTCTCTTGCTTCGGCTTCCCTGGCACTGGGACCCCAGATGAACACCTGGCTTCACACATAGTCATGTGTTTGTGGATGTGAATGGGATCTGGGCAAAACTGGCTCTCTAGTCACACTGCCAAAGTGTACTATAGACAACGGCGTTTGAGAAAGGGCATATGAATGACATAGTAACAGGATTATTTGTTTCTAATAATTTCTTCTTGTTTGTTTTTCTTTCAAGACAGGGTTTCTGTGTGTAGCCCTGGCCAACCAGGAACTCACTCTGTAGACCAGGATGGCTTTGAACACGCAGAGATCCACCTGCCTCTGCTTCCTAAGTGCTGGGATTAAAGACGTGTGCCACCACTGCCCTGCTTCTAATCATTTCTTAAACAAGCAAAGAGACACCCTGGGCCTCCTCCAGCCTCCTCCCTCATCATCCCACCCAAAAGAGCCGTTTCTTTGACTGTTTTCCTCTCCTTACCCCTAAATCCCTCCTCTGCACATTCTACCTTGCTTCTCTATTGCCAATGGGCTTCCCTATGCTCTCATATTTCCAGTCAGTCCAGGGGTCTCCCATGTGACCTCATACTTCACCAGGCTCCATCAGTACAGCTGTGACAAACCGGTCAGAACACCTTTCAGGCTAGGTGATGGTGCACGCCTTTAATCCCAGCACTTGATAGGCAGAAGCAGGCGGATCTCGAGGCCAGCGTGGTGTACAGAGTGAGTTCCAAGGCAGTCAAGGCTACACAGAGAAATCTTGTTTTGAAAAGAAGAAGGAGGAGGAGGAAAAGAAAAATGAATGTCCATCAGATACTGGTTCCTTCACCATCAGGACTTAGTTCATGTTACCCTCCTTTAGTTTCTCAACTGGACATAACCATATGCCTCTCTGTGACCATAACAAGGAAAAGCAAGATGGGTTGTATGTGTGCAAAACCCCAAAACCTTGTGGCTTAAGCAAGATAGAAGTTTATTTCTCTCTGATACAGAAGCCTGGGGGTAGGAGGTCCCAGAATGCAACGGGGCTCTGCAGGTGCTTCTGTCCCTCCTCATCTGTTCAGCAAGTAACTTTCCCCTTTTGGTCCAGTCAGGTTGCTTGAGCTTCAGCTGCCACCTCTGCATGCCTGCCAACAGAAGCAAAGAAAAACGGGAGCCCCCTTCTTGTTTGTTTGTTTTAGGTTTATTCATCTATTTATTTTACATTCCAATCCCAGTCTCCTCCCACACTCCCAACCTCCCATCTGCTCCTCAGAGAGGGTAAGACCTCCCCTAGGAAGTCTACTGAGTCTGTCCCATCATCTCTCATTGAGGCAGGACCAAGGCCTTTCCCCCTCTCCCACGCCTAGGCTGAGCAAGGCATCTCTCCATACAGAATGGGCTCCACTAAGTCAGTTTGCGCATCAGATCTTGGACCCACAGCCAGTGGCCTCATATATTGTCCCAGTCGCACCACTGTCACCTGTGTTCAGGAGTCTAGTTCAGTCCCATGCCGGTTCCTGAGTTGTCAGACTGGAGTCATTGATCTCTCACTAGGTGAGCCCTCTTCTTAAGGACATGTTCTGAGATCAAGATTTCGTTACATGACTGCAGTTAGCTTGAAGGGAGTCTGGGTAATGTAGTCTCCATTCTTGGAAGTCTTGTGTCCAGGGTTCTACCACACAGGAAGAAGAGGGGAACAGATTTGAGAGGACGTCAAGCCACTCAGCCTGAGTCCTGTCAATATGGCCCCACTATACCCACTAAGGCGTCTTACCAAGTGGATCATCTCTTGTTGAATTACTTGCTTATTATTATCTTTCCCAGTAAAGTAGAAGCCTGGAATGGGGAGTTGGCTCATTAAGTGAGGCACCTACTACACAAGCGTGAGGGCCTTAGTTCAGGTCATTGGCATGCCCAGAGACAGGGCATCCCCTGAACTTGCTGGCCCACAAGTCTAGCCTACTGGTGAGTATTGGTTCAATGAGAGACCTTTGACAAATATAAGATGGAAGGGCTGGCAAGATGACTCAGTGGGTAATCCCAGGGTTTGGGAAGCAGAACAGGAGGATCTTTGTGCTTAAGGACAGCCTGGTTTACATAGTGAGTTCTGGACCAGCAGAGCTAGCTAGTGAGCCCCAGTGTCAAAAAAAAAAAAAAAATTTAAGAAAAAATAATAATAAAGTGGAGAACAATTGAGAAAACATATCATTGTCTGACCTATACACACACTACATAACACACTGCACACACACTGCTCACATCTACTACCCGATACTACATGTACACACATGCACACACACACACACACACACACACACACACACACACTCCGCTACATACTACACATATACACAGAAAGCAAAACAGTAAGTTCCATGAGTGCGGGTCTTTTGGGGATTTTCCTATCACAGGGTCTCCAGTGCCAGCAAAAGGTAGTCCCAACTATCTGGAAGGCAGGAGGGTAGTCAAGGACTAGAGCCAGGATTGGAGAGCAACCTAGGGTACAAAGTGAGACCCTTTCAAAAAAGAAAAGTTCTGGCCGGATGATGATGGCCCATACCCTTAATCCCAGCACTTGGGAGGCAGAGGATCTCTGAGTTCAAGGCCAGCCTGGTCTACAGAGTGAGTACCAGGACATGCTCCAAAGCTGTAGGGAAACCCTGTCTTGGGGGTGGGGGGAGCTCAGGGAATAACAAAAAAAAAAAAAAAAAAAAAAAAGCAAACAAAAAAAAAGAAAGGTTCTGCATTTTATTGAATAATGATTGATTGCCAGAAATTATGGCCAAGAGTAGTTGTATGAAAGGGTCTTTTGACCCCCAAGGGAGTTGTGACCCCCAGCTGAGAACCTCAGTCTAGAGTCATTCTTAGTCAATTCAGAGGCTAATTTGTATCCACAGGGATGGGAGGAATTTGCCTAAGGCCATACAGTTGGTAATTGGGAGCCAAAATTCAAACTGCTGGTGACTAGGAAGCCCTTGGGCGTTCTCCACTTTACTGGCAGGCTCTGCTCTCCCAGCTCTACCCAGGGACAAGTTCAAGCCAGGAAGACACCTGCAAGCCCGTTGGTGCCATGCCTGGGAAATTCCATTCCAAGTTCTCATTTATGTCAAGCCAGTAGCCTCTAACTGGATCAGACTCAGTAGCCTTCAGACAGATCAGTGGGTGAGAGGTCAGAAGGAACCCATGAACTACATCCTCCCTGGACCTAAGCCTTGGACAAGGTGTGAACTTCACATGAACATATTGTGTTTTCCATTTCAGACAACAGAGAACAATGTAACTCATCAGGTTTCTTCCAATACCTTGGCCTTTAGGAAACCTAGGTTGAATAAAACACCCAAGGGCAGCTCCAGCCTCAGACCAGAGCGGTAAGGACCAAAATGATGTCCCTACAGGCTTTGAGCAGATAAGGGCCAGGTCAAGAAGCAGTTTCCATCCTTTCATTTAAGCGTTTGGCAACTACTGTGTGCAGGGCCTTGTGGGAAACACGGTAAGTTGCTGTTCTTGAATCCAATATGCCCAATGCTTAAAGAACCCTGGGCACGAGAGGCGCAGTAACTTCCTCAGGTCCACTTGTTCACCTACTGTGTGCTGTAACTGCATTGTCCCACAGGAAGCAGAGAGCTAAAGTCTGCGCTGTGGACAGGGCCGGAAAGCCCTCCAGGTAGTCGCTCTTAGTTGGTAAGACACGCAAGGGGAACGGGCACCTGAGACAGGCTGGAACGCCTGAGAGAGGCTGCAGCAGAGCCGAAACCTCTGCGGGGCTGCACTGATCCTGGCCCAGAACGCTGGCAGGGAGGGGAGGGGTGGGGCAGGGCGGGGCGGGAACGCGGTCTGGCCTGCTAGCACCGGCTGGGCTCCGAGTGCCTGTAAAGCCTCAAGCGCTAGCCCCTACCTCTTCCGCTCACTTCGCGGGGTCTGAGCACAGGGTCTGCTGTAGGGCAGCCCACGTCTGCCAGAACCCTGCCACGTCTGCCAGAATG